AGCTGGGCAAATCACGTAGCCATACGTTCGCTTCACGTCTTCGTTATAGATGTTCAGAAAATCTACGTCAAAGGTGCGAACACCTCGCGGTAGACGGACCATCACGTCATCACCGTAATGCTGTTCCAACGGATCGTCACTGAAATTCGTTGTTTTTTGAGCACAAAAGAAGATCAACAACAAATTCAAAATCTACAGTTCGTATCCGATCGCTCGAGCCTTCGTTTGCTGAGCATTCTCTGTGACGTTGCCAGTTCCGATGAAAAAGAAAGTGTCTGGAAGAGATCTCATTATTGCGCTGTCTTCACCCCTCACCAAGACCATAATTTTGCGTAACATGGTCTCTTCTTCCCTTTGGACTTTCTTTCTTGCCGTTGCCTTTGGTGGCCAGAATTTCTAGAATTTTTGCCGTTTTATTTGGAGGGTAGTAGCTCTCTTTAGAGAGCAGCTGGTGTGGCACCGTTCAAGGTTACTTTTACGCAGTTGTAGATAGTGATAGTGTTGCTAGTGTTCAGTAGTCTATGCAGATATATGAAAAAAGCGAACCCATCTTCCGCCAGTATTTGAAGGCGCCTTTTTGAAAAACAAGTGGACTTCTTATTGTGGAGCTTGGATATGGAATAGCAGGTGCTATTTTTCCCGACATTCAAGGAAGAACCGAAAGAAATGTCGAAAATCTCCTAACAATGACACCTCCTTATAGCAGGCCCAGTTTGTGGCACAGAAGAGAGCGCAGGCAGCGATGGGGGAGACGGAGTAGCCTGCACTCAGAGCTGGCGGTGTGTTTACAAAGCCATCTCCTGGCACAGTGAGAGCAATATCCTGCTTTAGCACCCAGGCACCTTTTCAACCGCTTAACACACTTCTGAAGACCATCGTAGGATGTGGCTTCAAAACTGTCTTTGTGAAGCCAGGGACCCAATAGATATTAAAGTGGGCATTCTGATAGTCTTGAAACATTGCAATGCATCAGTCCCGTATGATCTCATTCCTTTTATCGAAGAGTCATCGATGATGAATCGCTTGGAATAACTTACTTGGTTGCTTCCGATCGGCTGCATAGAAGAGAGATGGAATTAGGATTGTGTTGCAGTTTAATATTCGCACCTCTCCACTAGAAATATTTCGTTCTAAAGCGATCATTGGACCAATTTCCTCCTCCCTTGGAGGATCCACTTCCAGCAGCCAAACCAGGGGGATTGATTTCTGAAATAGTTCATGAACTTTGAAGTAGAGCCTATAGAAAAATTAGAGTGAGTATGAAGATCATTTCTACTAAAAAAACCAAATTCTCTGTACTAAAAATCATAGTGGAATCTCGCGGATTTTACTGTTTGACCCTACGGATATCTTTGCTTGATCACTACGCAATTTTGTCCTCGCCTCTATTGCGATACATTGGCCTACTTCCGGGGCTGTAGTCATCTTTCTCTTTGGGGGACCCGTTCCTCCTCCCCTGCTGATTCTATACTAATGCTGGGAGAGACGAGGTTGCGTCATAGGACCCACCATTGACCGCGTGATGTTGTAGCCACCCTCTCCTGTTAAAGTACTTTTTTCTCCAAGGAATTCGCGCTGTCTGGAGTTTGGAAAAGCAGGGAATAGTTGGTCTTATGATGCAACCCTGTCTCTCCCCCTCCCAACCATAGAATAGGATCAGTGGCGAGGGACGCCTTCTCTGGGGTAGCAGAGCATACGGCCCGCGGTAAAGACATGGCGTGGGAACACATTGTGCCGTCTACAGTAATCCAATTTTTGCAAGGGGAGGAAGCTTCGGCGTCGGTGAACCAACTCACCCTAGTGAAAGAAAACTAGGTGATCATTCTTTTTAGAATGCCTATAATAAATAAAATATGTTGAGTGACTTGGGCCCTGCACGGAAATGCCCCCCTCCCCTCCCCTCTCTACTTAGAATTAGCCAAATCTCTGTTACAGTATTACTTTGTTGCATTGATCGTAGAGTCCAATCCATTTGTAGTCAGACAGACGAGCACCATTGGTGAGAAGAAAAGCGACTTGCTCGTCCGAAGCCGGCGGTAGAGAGAATGACGGGTCCCATTGAGCTGAATCAATTCGCAAACTGAGCGGACGCAGAGATCGGAATTTATAATGTAAAGGGATTAGGCTGAGCTGTTTCGGAGTCTAACTTCGATCTGATTCTTTAGTTAAACTTGCCGAAACTCATTGCAATTACTCCAAAGAATTCCAAAATATTTGTGTTTTTTGCAGTTTTCTTGATTTTGAGTTCTTTTAATATGGTGTATAATCAAAAAACCATTTCTTCTTGGATTCTTCGGAGCTTTTGGAATAAACCTTTTGTGCTTCTGAGTGGTATAATACATGCAGTGAGATTGCTGGGAGAATTGACCCCATTCAAGGCCTCTAATGAACCAGTTTATTTGAATTTGATTGATGTTCCTGACGTCGCTATATGTCTGCAATTGCAGACAGATCATTTCAAAAAGTGCGCGATGGCACTAAGCTGGTAAAAGGGTGCAATCCTAAGCTGGATTAAATCCCGCGACTTGTAAAATGGTAAGCGGAGCCTCGAAAGACTTTGATAGCACAATTCAAAGAAAAGGGAAACATTTCAAAATGAAGCGTGAAGCCGAAAAACAATGTTGAATTTTTATGTGTAGTTGTCCCAATATATATAGAATCATTTCTATGAGGTACAGCTTTTGAAATGACTACCTGTTTGACTCGCTTCCTCAGGGTTGTCCTTATTAAGCTCGTCGCGAAATTTGTAGTCTCGTATTCGCTCTTCCTGGTAAGTTAACATCATTTGAAAACTGGTAAAGGTAAAAATGAAAAGGCATTAAGCTGAGCGCTTTTCCAATGAGCGCTAAACTTTGAATATTTATGTGCTGAGGAACCTAAGTGGTTTTTTAAAATCCAATCCAGTCCCTCATACCCAACATCTGCAGAGATTCTTAAAGCAACAGTTCAGGGAGGGTCCGAAAATTTCAATGCCACTACTACTGAGGGATACACGAGCCCTAGTGAAGAACATATGCAGTGGAAATAATAAACGAACTTACCTCAGAAACTCAAAAACAGGGTGGAAAGTCCCTCAAACATGGGTGTTCTTGGGGATTTCCCCAATCCCGCCCCCTTGCCGGCCGTCATTGGACGCGTCGGCAATCGTGCTCGTTTTGGGACCACAGGGAAAATTGATTGAAAAATGGAGCGCGTTTACAGCGGGCACGTTCAGACAACTCGTCCAACGTGCGTCTTTATCCATTGCTGAGCGGCAGAGGGAGAGTACCTGTCTAAGACCCTCCCCGACGTTTTTTTTCCAGTTTTTCATACATTAATCGTCTGGTTTTCATCTACAACTTCATTATTGGTGGTTTTTTCCCGCGAAACCGTTCCTGAACTGTTGCTTTAACAGCAACAGGTTCAGTGCTAGGCCAGTACTGGCAATACGAAAGCGAACATTCTTCGTAGAACACAGACCAAAAGAAGGGTGGATGGTGTGAGCCGGAACATGAAGACTGTAGCGGTGCGGAGAAACTAGGTTACCGTGCGCAGAAACTTCTACCATTCTGCCGTGGATCCCCTCGTTTCTCACCAATCCGTCTTATCCCTTATTTAGCCTTACTTACACGCTTGCTGATGAATTTCTAATACCTCACGACATCAGCATATTTTCGGTTTCTGAGAAGGCGACAAAGGTAAAGCACGACAGCCGAGTGCTGGAGAATTCCTCAAGGAAGCTTTATAGAAGGAAGTCCGACCCCGTCCTACGAAACCTGTCTTCTTTCTACAAAGCCTCCATGAAAGTTTCCAAGATTCTAAATCGTATGCCAAGATTCGATCAAAATAGAAGTTCAACACATTGCAGCCCGCGTGCATCGCCGAGTATGCACATCCGTATTTTACCCAATGAACCTTTTTCAGCACTTCTTTGACTATTTGACTTCTGTTAGTCTCGTGAATCCGTAAAACATGTGGCATGTCGAGAACTTCAATTTCAACAAATTTATGATGCTTGAAAGGGCGAGTTACTTTGAGAGGACTTGCGGTGCTAACTTAGTTGGGGGGGGGGACCACGCGGCGGCGCGGCGCTCTGTTCGTCTGCTCCTCTAAGGCTTAGTCCAAGGGGCAGTTACTATTTCGTCGCCACGTGGCAGTTTCGAAATACGCGCCATCGGCGGACTAAGCCTTGGAGGAGCAGACGAACAGAGCGCCGCGCCGCCGCGTGGTCCCCCCCCAACTAAGTTAGCACCGGACTTGTTTAGCTTTTTTTCTAGCAATGTAGCAGCCAAACTCACAAGGTGTTCCACGAGTTTATCTAAGCGATGGACAGGAAACATAGCTAGAAAATGCTTACAAATATACATCGAAAAGAACAGGAGAATCAAAACGAACTAAAGAACTAGTGTTCTTTGTAGCGCCTCTTAGCGGATTAAGTGATTTTCGTTGTCAAACGGAGAAAAGATTAAAAATTGCGTGTAATTTCACATCAGTCTCCTTCCTGCATTGTCCAAAATTGCATTACCATAGTGACGATATTCAAAAAAGTTCCCGAAAAAAATTACGAAACAAAGCTAGACACTTATTGAACTATAAACACGTAATAACAAGCAAAAATGAAAAAAGACCAATGATTCGTGTGAAAAAGTAAAGCTCTCGCGCCCTATCAATGGGTCGGTTATGTCGATCCCGCAACGAAAGTCCACAAAGTGTCTGACATGGTCTACGGACAACTTGAACTCAGTCCTTCAAACCGCCTCGATTTGATGCTCTCGCCTGCGCTCTCTCGCCTTAAACAGCGGCTTATGATTACTGTGATCTGACACATTCAAACTTTGCCACAATGTAATTGGCTCACCCACTCCGGAGTCCCTCCTCCCTCCAAGGCTTAGTCCTAGGCTCTCACCTTCTTCTTGGGATTTGGAGCCGAGCCAGGCGCCGTTCTCTAATCGTCTGTGCTCTGGCCTTTCGCGGCAGAGAACATAGGGGAGAGTTCAAGTAGTCACGTAATCGTCTCACGCATGGGATTTGTGCATCGCCGAGTATGTACGCGCACAGTACGACCAAAGACACATGTGTGACATGCGCCGAAATCGGCGCGTGGCGTCAATGTGTTAATGCATTGATTATAGAGTGTAGTGTCCACAGGTAGCCTTGGCCATTCAGGGTGAGATATATTTTCTGATTAGAATCAGTAGCAATCCCTAGCTGAGATTCGAAACAGTGGAGGTATCAATGGTATGGATATCGTTTTTTAGTACAACCACAAATTTCCACAACCAGTTAGGTTGTTGTGCAGGAAATCGAAGCTGTAAGTAGGAAGTGGTATCCAGTGAAAAGACCAAAGGAAGAAAGCGCCAAAACACTTAAAATAAAAAAGAACCTCATTTTAGTAATGGCTGACATGTCTACAAAACAAAGGCCTCACAAAGGAGTCACGGCCTCAAAAACATCGCTGAGGCGAGAAAAAGGCTAGCGAAATGAGGAAGCATAGCACACGAGTGAGAGCGCAGAGAGTGTAGACCGTTCGTTGCCTAGTGAGCTACAACGGGAGTGGCTATCAGCAGCTGATGTTGTCAGCCCTTACCTTAGTGCCGATATCGCATGGTCTTGAGGTGTGGAAATGGCATAACCTTTGTATTTTGATATATTGCTGTAAAAAATTAAATAAAACTGCGAAGTTTGTTCCAAATATTATCCATACGATAAGGTAAAGGGCTGGCAACGCAGTAAATGATGAAACTGTGAGTTTTCCTTCACAAATCCATCAGTAATAAAAAATTCAAGCACAGGTCGAAGCTCACCTCTTGTTGAGACCGTTGCTTTTCTGCTTTACTGAAAAGGAGAGTGTATGAGGATTTTTTCAAATCAAGGGCGAATAATAGTCCTGTTTGGCTTACTCAAAAACAATCACAGGCGTTCCAGGTTGAGCAGTAGAAGACAAAAAGAGATCTGAAACGAAAAGAAAAAGTAAGAATGATCGTCTCGGCTCGCATTCAGCTTACCCATTATCAGTGTGGGAAATGTGTTGCTACTCATTACTGTA